GCTGTCTCGCTTTTGTTTCAAGTTGTCCCACCTTTCCAGACCAAAACCAATGTTCATCTTACATATATTGATGTGTCATATCTCCCTAAAATGTATAAAACCAAGCTGTGCTCAGACCACCTTGGGCACATGTCATCAGGACCTCGTGAGGCTGTGTCACAGGCGCACGTCCTTAACCTTTGTGAAATAAACTTACTAAATTGACTAAGCCCTGTCTCAGATTTTTGGTGTTTACACTACTAACTTGGGAAAGGACTTATCTTTCTCTAGGATGTCTTAATTTCTTCAACTATAAATGTAATGAATAAAAATAGCTTCCTTTCTGATCTACTTTATTCTCTATCCACTGGATATGAGTACACATGTAGTTCCAGCTCTGGGTACAAGAAGTCTTTGTTTTTGCTTTGAATCGCATCGATTTTTCTTTTACACCACGTGTTTTATAGAGACAAGCACAGCTGAACAAGATTTTAACCCGAAGCTCTTTGGGGCTGTTTCGCTGTGGGTGCAAAGGTGGAGTGGGGCTGTCAGATAATTACCAGTGTTTTCCATAGAGCCAATGGCCTCCCCAGGTCAGCAGGCAGAGCCCAGCTGTAGTTTTCTTCCAATGGTTTCGAAGTGTTTTAAAGAACACCGTCATCTTCTAGAGATTTGCTAGGTTAGTAGAGGCAGAAAAAGAAAAAAAAAATTTATCCATGATCTTCATGTAATGTCCCTATTCCTCTATCTTCCATTCTTTTATCCTCTCCCACTCTTTTTCCCACTCATTCCTCTTCCTCCTTACCATTTCTCCTCTGGCCTTAGCTCATCTTCTTCCTTCTATTCCCATCATCTTCATCTTCTCACCCACCCACACATCCACCTTTCTTTCTTGCTTCACGTATTTCCACCTAACCTATACTTCTTCCCTCTCTGATCACTTTTTCCTCATGGTAATAGAAGGAAGAGGGATGGGGCAGAAAGAGAGGAAGGGAATTCCAGGCTTCCTCTGGTTTTTCTGACTCCTTACAGCCTCACTGTACCACTGTTTAAGAGTATACATTTGTCTATCCATCATAAGTGTCCCAAAAACACAATAATAATACGAAGGGCGAGTTCAAAATAGAAGAAAATACCAGGTCCTCAACAGGAAAAGAAACAGAAAACATGTATAGAAAATTCAATGAAGAGGCAATGCACATGGCTATCTAAAAATGTTCAACTTCCTGAATAATCAAAGACATGCAAATTACAGAGATCATTATTGACCAAAATAATTTTTTAAATGATCGTATTCACTGATGACATAATAAAATGATAGACACTCATACACTCCTTTAAAGAAGGCAAATTAGGAAGACTTTACTAAAAAACAGAGTGACATAACAGAATATCTTTATTCTTCATGACACTTATTATTTGATGATGCTTATATTCACTTGCTGGTTTATTAGCCTAATCCTACTGGAATGTAAACTCCATGAGAGTAAGGACATTATTCTGGTCACTGCTGTATCCTGTGCCTAAAGTAAGATCCAGCATACAATAGCTGTTTAAGAAATATTTGTTCAATGAATAAGTCAAATAGCAATTAAATATTTTTTTACCCCAAATTTGTACTGATGTGGGAAAAACCCAAAACATAATGTTAAGTAAAATTAGCAGGATAAAAAGCCATATATAATTGGCATTATCCCAATTATGTTCAAACATGAGTATAAATTTTTTAAAAAACCAATAGAATTAAACAAAAACAAATTTTTTTTTAGACAGGGTCTCACTCTGTCATCCAGGATGGAGTCCAGTGGCACAATCGTAACTCACTATAACTTCTGGGCCCAAAAAAATCTCCTGCCTCAGCCTCCCGAGTAGCTGGAACCACAGGCACGTACCACTACACTTGGCTAATTTTTTGTTAGAGACAAGGTCTCACTATGTTGCCCAGGCTGGTCTCAAACTCCTGGCCTCAAGCAATCATCCCACCTTGGCCATCCAAATTGCTGGGATTATAGACGTAAGCCACTGCACCTGGCTCAAAAACAAAATTTTAAAGTAGATCCCTCTAGGTTGTGGAATGGTGGGTGATGTTTATTTTATTTTTAAAATTGCAATGTACTTTCTAAGTTTTTGAAAATGAACTTAATTATTTTCTAGATAAACAAAAATTTAAGAAAAAAATTTTTATGACTATCTGTTAGTGAGGTATATAGACCAAGAAAAAGAAACTGTTTCCACTTAAAAGTTCAGTTCTTTTATGACTCCCTTTAAATTCCATTGGTTAAAATTCCTCTCAAGGGAAGAAACATCCTTATCGAAAGCAGCAGTGAAGCCAGTGCCAGGGAGACCATCTTCCTGTGAATCCCATACACCGTCAGGCTGACACATGATTCCAAACCCCCAACTAATTATTGAACTCCTCTCCATCTGACCCTAAATCACTCCTTCATTCAAGAGCCCTTTAATGAACACCTATGTGCTAGGCTCTGTGCTGAGTGTGAGGGCAGAGAAGAACCGGTCTCATTCGTTCTCAAGTAATCACAACTGTCAAACCCACAATGCTAACACAATTATACAATTATGATTGCAGTACAGTGAGATAAATGAGTCAGCACAAGGCTTTCTGAGAGTCTGCAAGAATGAACCTAACCTGGTCTAGGGCTGAGGGGGTGACGCACAGTCAATGAAGTCTTCTCTGAGCCCTGAAGAATGAGGAGGAGTCACTAAAGTAACAAAGGAGCTTTGTGGATGCTATTGTCTGAATGCTGTGTTCCCCAAAAATGCTGATATGGAAGCCCTATCCCCAGTGAGATGGTATTAGGAGATAGAGCCTTCGGGAGATAATTGGGTCATGAGAGTGGCTCCCATGAAAGGGATTAGTGTCCTTATAAGACTAGACTCTACAGAGATGGTGTCTCTGCATTGTGAGGATACAGCAAGAGATATCTACAAACCAAGGAAGAGGGCTATCACCAAGCACTCAACCATGCTGGCACCCTGACTTTGGACTTCCAGCCTCCAGAACCGTGAGAATTAAATTTCTGTTGTTTAAGCCACCCAGTTTTTGGTATTTTTTTTTTTTTTTACAGTAGCCCAAACTGAGAGTGTACAAAGGCATAAAAGACAGTAAAGTGTGTTGAGAGGAACATACGTAGGTAGTGAGGGGAGAACCAGGTTCATGGCTGAGACCCCTATAACAAGAGAAAGATTAACAAGAGAAAAACATACATATTTATTTAAGGTAAGTTTTAGGTGACACAGGAACCTTCCTAAGAAAATGAATACCCAGAAACAGGTAAATTCATGTATTTTTACGCTAGGTTTGATGCAGTGGACGGCCATGGAGAAGTATGACTGGAAAAAGGGGGTATGATCTAACAGTAATACGCTAGGGAGAACTTAGCAAGGCCTGTTTGTTCAGATTCTTCTCTGTGTACCTGTGTCTTCAAAGATAAGGGCATTCCTTTCCTCAATCCTATACTCATAGGATGAACACCTCTCACAGGAGGGTCTTATACAGAAGAAGATCAAAGAATTATTTCATGGCCTGCTTCAGGGGAGAAGAGTGGAAAGCCACAAAGTGACTTTCCTGCTTCAGTTGTTTCCTCTAATGCCAACGAGTCATATTTTGGGGCAGTGTGTCCTGTACCCCATCAAAAGCAGAGTAAAAACTGGAGTGTCTAGAACAGGGGTTCTCAACCTTTAGTGCAGAACTTGTTAAAAACACAGAATCCTGGAAACTGCCCCCTCCCCAAAGAGTCTCATTTGTTTTGGAATTAAGCTGTCATCTTCACTTTTAACAAGTACTCCCATGTTGGTTGTAATGGAGGTCACCACTACACCAGACTTTGAGAAACAGTGGTTTAGAGATAAAGGATTGAGGCCCGGGGGGGATTAGAAAAGACCTTGAACCCACATTAAGGACTTTGGCTATTATTTTGAAGACAATGAAAAACCTTTAATGAGCTTTAAGCAGGTGGGTGATATAATCATATTTGAACGGTTAAAAGACCACTTTGTAGCAGAATGAAAAATGAACTGGAAGAAGCTAAAATTAAAGCTAAAGAGAACCATTAGGAAGTTATTGCCATAATCTCTAGGCACCTAAAAGAACAAACCAAGATAAAGGATGGATTTGGAAAGCTTTAGAAAGTAGAAATTGGCAGCACTTGGTGGTTCACTGACTGTAGGAAGTGAGAGAGGAGGAACCAAGCCAGGTTTTTGTGCTTGGGTGACTGATTGAATAGTGATTTCAATCATTTAGATTTGAGTGGTAGGTTTGTGGAGAAGAGTAGTGCGGTTTAAGAGATACTGAATTTGACATGCCTGTGGAGCATCCAGGTGGAAATGTTTTTCTCACTAGACAGTGAACCCCTCGTGGGCAAGTTCTGTCTATCCATCTGCAGCACCAGAACCTAGTAAAGCGCCAGAATGAATGAACCAACCATCCCATCAATGGATGCGATACTATTGGCCCCATTTTGCAAAGGACTATGCTGAAGTCCAAGGGATGGAGTGAGGGAGGGTTCACAAATTAGCGACAGCTCTGGGACTCGAACCCAGGACAGCTGACTCCCGCAGTGACCACGAGATCAGCGCGAGGCCCTCCCCCGCCGCGCCGGCCAGGCCCGCACCCCCTACCCTCAAGCCGCGCTGCCACCTGCACCCACGACGCCTGATGCTCGGGTACCCGAGGCTTTCGGCCCAGTGCGACTCCAGAGGCTCCGCCCAGCGCCCCGGGCCCCCATTCCGACTCCCACCCCGCTCGCGCGCCCGTTCCCAGCGCCCCGCACTCCGCTCCCCGCCCGGACGCCGCTGCACTCACCACGGCTGGTCCAGCTCGCGGCTCTGCCTTTCCTGTGTGCTCCCTCCAGATTCCCCGGCTCGTTCAAGGGAAACCGCTGCCGCCGCCCTCGGGTTCCGCCGCGGGTCTGCGAGCGCGCGCGGGCCGGGGGCGGGAACCGGCTCGGATGCCCAGGGACGGTGGGGGTGGCAGGGCCTGCCGCCCTGAGGCTGCCTTTCCCCGCGTTCCCTCGTTGATTGGCTCACTCTTCCTTTCATCCATCCATCCTTTGCGCAATAATATTTGATGAGAAGTCTGCCAAGGTAACACTGCTTTAGCGCCTGGAACTAAGTCGGAAAATAAATTAACTAAATGAACAAGGCCGTTGGAGATGGTGCTCCGTGCCACGAAGAAAATAAAACGGGTGACGGAAGGCAGCGCGGGTTGGGGGAGAACTGCGTGAAATTAGGCGGCCTGTGCTAGGCCTTCTGAGTACGGGGCCATTGGTCTGAGACCTGAATGTCAAGAAGGAGCAGCTGAAGCAAAGATCCAGGGGAGAGAGCCTGGAGAGGGAAGGGCCTGTGCAGAAGCTCAGAAACCTGGGGCAGTCTGGCGAGTTGCAGGCCGGTGCGGGTGAGGCAGAGAGAGCTAAGGAGAAGGGCCAAGCCAAGCGAGGAAGCTGGAGAGGTGGAGACAGGCCACTGCGGCCAGGAGTTTGGACATGACATTAAACAGGGCGAGAAGGCATTGAGGGGGTGCAGTCAGGGGCTGGTGGGACTGGTTTCCATTTTATACATCTCTCTGGCCACAGGTGCTTGACTGGATTCTAGAGAACAAGAGAGCAACGGAGAAGCTAGGCCAATGCCAACCTCCAGACAGTTTACACTCTGTACTCGCCCCCCAGATTGGTGTGGGGACCAAGTCAGGTCCTTCTTCCTTCCAGCATTCAGTCAGCCAACTTTTTTTTAAGACAGGGTCTCACTCTGTCAGGCTCTAGTGCAGTGGCACAATCTCAGCTCACTGCAACCTCTGCTTCCCGGGTTCAAGCAATTCTCATGCCTCAGGCTCCCGAGTAACTGGGATTACAGGTGCATGTCAACAAGCCCAGCTAAATTTTTTTGTATTTTTAGTAGAGACGGGGGTTTCGCCATGTTGGCCATGCTGGTCTCGAACTCCTGACCTCAAGTGATCCGCCGGCCTCGGCCTCCCAAAGTGCTAGGATTATATGCATGAGCCACAGCACCCGTCCTGTCAACCAACATTTGAAGGTGTGCTAGGCCCTGCAACAGGCACTGGGGGTATGCTCAGGTACAACGCCCTTCATGGTTCCTGCCCCATGGCGCTTGAGTCTGCGCATTTCCTACGTGGAGACATGCATCTTACCTATGTCCCCCTAGTTGAATGCTTCAGAACAAAAAACAAAAAACAAAAGGCTATGGGGGAAAACATTCAATGAGGTTATGGTGCAGTAAACCTATTCCTTATGCCAGGGTGCACCAGTCCTCACTGGGTCACACTATTTAGTAGCAAGAACTTTCTAGCCCTCTCTCCTGAGTCTCCACCTGTAAACTAGGGGACTGAGAACATTACCATTTTAAAAAACCCTTCTAGCTTTAAAATGTTGTCATAGAGTATGGAAGACCATTCTTTTCAGTTCTTCTTTTCCAACTATCTAACGCGTTTGTGTGTGGAAATAAGCTGCTGAACTGCTCACCTGCAGGCTAGAAAAATCTGAGACTTGATGCTGATGTTCCAAGGTTCAGACTCAGCATACGCTTTAGGGCTTCAGCATGAAAGTGGTTTCCCAAATAAGAAAATGTCAGCTTTGATGAACTTTCCGTAATTGTCCAATCAGAACAATCTAGAAAGAATTTTTTTTTAACTTCACACATATGTATGCTTTTTGCTGGTGTTGTTTTGGGGCTGATTTTATTTTGTTTTGGATTATATGAATAGGGAGTTCTGTACTCATTTCCGTTCTTCAGGGCCCCTAAAGACCAGATCCATCATTGCTGGGACATCTGCATCACATGTGAATGTGAGTTTGACCACATGGAATGTGCTCGTGCTTGTATGTTTGCCTGTGGATTTTCCCCTAGAGCCAGAAGGAATGCAACCCTGAGGACCATTTTAGACTTCTGACCTCCAGAATTATAAGATAATAAAAGTTTGTCGTTTTATGCTGCTAAGTATGTAGTAACTTACTACAGCAGCCACAAGAAACGAATTAGTACACACTGTCTTAGAATATGCTTCCTGGAGAATTCGACCTGGGTGACAGGTTGATATTTCAATACTTTTAGTGAATCAGTATTTAAATTATTTCGGTCCACCATTTATGAAGTCCCACACAAACCTCCAGTGTCCCCATTCCTCCTCTCTGCCCATCCTAATCACGTCCTTCCTGCATAGCTCCCCTTCACGCAGCCTTTCCTGATAGCCACATCCTTGTTGACCTGCCCCTTTCTTGAATGATGGTAATATTTTCAGTCTGCATCACTTACTTCTGCTATGCATCCTGTATTTTTATAAGAAGGATGGAAATATAGGAAATGGAGGGAATCTGAATACACACCTGCAGGCGGATGTGTAGGTTGGAGTGTTGGAGACCTATACCAATTCTGCTCTCTTCCAAATCCCATTTTATGAGGACGCATTCAGATTCCAGCATAATCAGGCTCACGCTCTAGCCAGCCCTTAATGGGTTCCTGCAGCCCAACAGAAACCTGACAGTCTGACTTAGGCAGCCCCAAGAGCTTCTGTTAGGCTGGGCGCGGTGGCTCAAGCCTGTAATCCCAGCACTTGGGGAGGCCGAGGCGGGTGGATTGCCTGAGGTCGGAGTTCGAGACCAGCCTGGCCAACATGGTGAAACCATGACTCTACTAAAATTACAAAAATTAGCCAAGCGTGGTGGCAGGTGTCTGTAATCCCAGCTACGTGGGAGGCTAAGACAGGAGAATCACTTGAACCTGGGAGGCAGAGGTTGCAGTGAGCCGATATCGCGCCAAAGCACTCCAGCCTGGGCAAGATCAAAACTACCTCTCAAAAAAAAAAAAAACTCTTAGTCAAGGACTAACACAAGTTCCCTCTCACAGTCAAAGAGAGTCGGAGAGCTTCCTCTGCTGATCCATGTTAAGGATCTACAATGCCAGAGAAGACTCAGGTCTGACACTCTGGCTCTTAGATGCCTGGAACAGTGCCTCAGGCACAGTCCCTAAGGCTCAATGGCACATTCATGCCACAGAGAAGACCAAAGACAGATCCAAATGCACACAGCCAGAGAGAAGGGTTTGGCTTATGTACTTCCTTTTCCATGTGCTCTGTTCACTATCGCTGACAGCTGAGTGAGGTTCCCAAGGAGCAGAAAAGTCATCCCAAGCAGCTATTTGAAATTTGCCTTGGTCTTCAGCCTTACCTGGGATCTTCAGAGAAGACCATTTTTCACTGTCAAGGATAGGGACTTGTGTCTCTTTTCACATCTAACATATTGCCACATATACTACTATACTTATTGCATATTGAAATAAGTGACACATTGAAAGTATGGGCCCCAGTTGCTTACAAAATGAATTTATGTTCCCTTGAGGGTAAATGTACTGACTGACACCCAGTAGATCCCAAGAATAGAAGAGTCTTACTTACATCTCAAGATCTCTAGCATTTTCCAAATATGGTGGCTGACCATCCCAGTAGCTTCTCATTAGTCCAGAACCAATCCTGAGGTAACATTCTCTTGGCTCAGAACCTGTTTTGTTCTGTTTGTCTGTTTTTTGAGATGCAGTTTTGCTCCTGTCACCCAGGCCAGAATGCAATGGCGTGATCTCAGCTCACTGCAACCTCCACCTCCTGGGTTCAAGCAATTTTCCTGTCTCAGCCTCCCAAGTAGCTGGGATTACAGGAGCCCACCACCACACCTAGCTAATTTTTGTATTTTTAGTAGATACGGGGTTCCACCATGTTGGCCAGGCTGGTGTCCAGCTCCTGACCTCAGGTGATCCACCTGTCTTAACCTCCCAAAGTGCTGGGATTACAGGCATGAGCCACTGTGCCTGGTCTTGGCTCAGAATCTGTTATTAAGGATGTTAGAGGGAAATGACCTTGGCCTAGAAATAGGGTGAGAAGAAACTAAGACAGGAGTGCCATGGTCATTCAACAGCAAAGAGTATTTCACTCTCCAGTCAGATTGCCCCCTACTGTGGAAGAGCATTCAAGAACATAAGACAAGAGAGAAAGAATCGAGGTTTAAGGTAGTCCCACATTTCAATTTTTTGCTCATTGACAAGATAGAGATATATAATTTTTTAATATATGTATAAAAAAATTCTATTTGCAACCTCCCTCTCATTTGCATACATCAACTACATACGGCTAGAACAGCAATGATGGCATGCTGAATTGCTGGTGATTGATTACCTAGAAAGTGGGTACTGTGTGGCTCTCACCTCTCAGTTACCCCCTCCCTGCCTTTGCCTCCTCCCTGAAGCCCCTGAAGTTGGTCAGCTTCACTCAACCTGGTGGTATGATAAAATCCATTGCAGGGGTAGGATTTGGAGTGGTTGGTGAACCCACCACTCTAGAGTCTGAAGCTTACAGGTGTAAAACAAAAAGGAAGGAAGGAAGACTGGTGGAATAAATAAACCAAAGGTAAGTGGAGCCCCCTTCGCCATTCTTATCCTTTTTCATAACTGTTATGTTGTATCGTTAAAGTGTAGTGTACATTTTATCTCCTTACCTAACATCCATTGCCCCTTTCTTCTTTCCTAACAGGAACTAAATTTTGTTCAGACATCCACTCTTCACCTTCCCAGCCCCTGTTTGCCTGTAACTACAAAGCAGGTGGCTAGATAACCCCATCCCCTTTGCCAAGGGTTAGTTTACACTCACTTTAGGTAATCACAGTCATTCCTCTTCCATCTCCAATGATTAGATTAGGAATAGATCATGTCACTCGATTTAGAACAGTCTTAAAAGGAAGTCTGCTGAGAGATCTCTAGGAAAGGTTTCCTCTTAAAAGGGAGAATTCAAGACAGAAATGGCAATCAATGTTAAAAACATTAGGCTAGGCAGGCCAGGTGCAGTGGCTCACGCCTGTTACCCCAGCACTTTGGGAGGCCGAGGTGGGAGGATCATCTGAGGCCAGGAGTTCGAGGCCAGCCTGGCCAACATGGCGAAACCCCATTTCTACTGAAAATACAAAATTTAGCTGGGCACGGTGGTACATGCCTGTAATCCCAGCCACCTGGAGGCTGAGGCAGAAGAATCACTGGAACCCGGGAGGCGGAAGCTACAGCAAGTCAAGGTCACGCCACTGCACTCCAGCCTGGGTGACACAGTGAGACTCCATCTCAAAAAAAAAAAAAAAAAAAAAAATTAGGCTAGGCAAAATAGCCCAGTCACAAAAGACCACATAGGATATGACTCCACTTACATGAAACCACCAGAAGTGGCAGATGCATGAAAATGGAACATGGATTAAAGGTTGCCTAGGACTACAGTTGGGGGGAGCTTGGGGAGAAGTGGGAAATGATTGCTAATGGGTATGGGATTTATTTTTAGAGAGATGAAAATGTTCTAAAATTGATGGTGGTAGTTGTAGGACAACCCTATGAATCTACTAAAAATCAGTGAAACATAAAGTTTAAGTGGGAAAATTGTATGGTATGTGAATTATATCTCAATAAAGCTGTTTTTAAAAAAAGAGAAAGAGATGGTCGTACTTTTCTCCTATTGGATCATCTATATGTACGTAATGCCTGAAACTGCTATAGTCATTCTTCATCCATGAAGGGAGCCAGCCCTGGGGCAAAGCCAACTCACAGTCAATGTCCCAGGGAAATGATAAAGAGCCCAGGTCCTCAATGACATCACGGAACCAAATGGTTGTACTGTGTCTGGAGTTTGCCCAAACTCTGGGACATCCTATTATGTGAAATAATAAATTATCTTATTGTTTAGGCTAGAGTCAGGGTTTTCTGTTCCCTGGAGCCATAAGCACCAACTTGATAAACTGCAAGCCGTAGGCTATATTGGTGGATAGGAAACACAATGAGGACAGTGATAAAAAAAAAAATATGATGGCAAGGTTTTTTTTGTGTGATTTTTGTTGTTGTTGTTTTTAACAGTCTTGCTCTGTCACTCAAGCTGGAATGCAGTGGCGTGATCTCTGCTCACTACAACCTCTACCTCCCGGGTTCAAGTGATCCTCCTGCCTCAGCCTCCTGAGCAGCTGGGACTACAGGTGTGGGCCACCAAGTCCAGCTAATTTTTGTATTTCAGTAGAAACTGGTTTCACCATATTGGCCAGGCTGGTCTCGAACTCCTGATCTCGTGATCCACCTGCCTTGGCCTCCCAAAGTGCTGGGATTACAGGTGTGAGCCACCGCACTGGCAAGGTTTTAAGGGTGAAAATCAATGACAGAAGAAAGCAAGTTGACATCAACAGGATGCTTAACCTTTGGTTTTTCCTAAAATCATCCTCTGGTCATTTCCCTGGACCTTGGACCTGTGCTATGCTCTTTTTCTGTAGATTCATTAACACTAAAATAGAGTTAAAAGTTTAAAAAAAAAAGATATAGTGTTCTTATCACCATTAGTAACCTTAGTATGTAGCATCACCAACGAAACCTGCTTGTGGGAATAGGTGCTCCCTAGGGTCAGTACTTTTATCACGGACAATTGTGTACAAATTCTTTTAACACTTATCTTGGTTTATTTGCTCATTTTTTGCCTACAGATATTTCTTTAGACTACTTTGTTTCCCCTAAGGAAAAAAATATGAAATGGTGTTCTTGTGGTATTTGTGCTTAAAATCCTTTCCTTATTATGACCTTTAATATCCACTGAATCTACTGCTACCAGATTGGAAACATGTAAATGAGGCCTTTCAAGAAACCAACAGGTTCCTAGGACAGAGAATACTTTTTCACATTATTGCATGAGATTTTATGAGAACCCTCTATGCTGCCCATTGTCACCCATGACCTATATGGGCCCTGCCTTTTCCTGAATGTGACTTCTCTTGTTAATGTGTCTTCTTGTCATCCTTTGCCACTTATTCCTCCTGACTCCAGCTAGGCCCTGGTCGGCACTTTCCAGCTGCCTGTTTAATATGACAGTGAGTAGGAACAAACGTAGGGCCCACATTGATTGTATCAAGCCAGGTCTCCAACATTGTTTTGCAAATTTTAGTTTTCAGGAGTAAACCAAATTCTAAATACCCTGGAACAAGAAGAGGGAACTTCTACCTGGAATGAATTTTAAGTTTTTTACTTTGGTAATTCATTTTTTCATTTCCAGGAGCATAGAGTCCAGCAGTTTTTTTTTTTTTTTTTTTTTTTTAGGAAACCAAATTTCAAACAAAACAGTAATTATGGTATTGTCATCCTAATACATTACCATATAATAACAACTCTAAATTTTCTTATTTTTTTAACTATGAATTGCTCTAAGAATGGGGCACTGGAGAACAACAGGTACTCACCATCATTATAAGACTTTTTTGGAATTTTGGTTCTGGCAAGGTACTAGACCTGCAAAGTCTCCCTATTTCCAATACCTAGAAATTCTGGTTAAAACGTAACAAGAGGATTCATAGCGCATAACTGAACTTGCTGTAAAGGAAGCTTCATCCCATGGGGCCAGAAAATAAGCGGGACCTGAAAGCTAAAATGGAAATACATGAGCTGATGATATGATTGCCTGGCTTGAGGGTTCCAGCTCAACAATCTAGGAGCTATCTCTCAGCACAAGACATGAGAACTTGGGTCCTCCAAAGTCAGGGAGCTGGAAGCAAAACCTCTGACTACATCACTAGGGAAAAAATTTTTTTAAAAATCTACTCACCAATGTGGAAGATGACAAGGAAGCAGTGTGTCCCAGCCCGAGCTCTAGGTGGAAAAAGAGTCCCCAAATAAGTGATAACACCAAATTTGTGCCTAGGGTGGGTTTTCTAATTTGAATACACATTATCTCAGTGGTACAGAAGTCTCAAAACTGGGAAAGTTAATATAAAAATTGGTCCCAGACTGATAATAGCTTTGAGTGTCTGACAGAAGCAAACACAAAGGCCTCTGGGGGAACGCTCCCATACCAGGCCAAAAAGGATTTTCCTGTTTTTTGAAAAACCTTTCTAAAGATGTCACAATTTTTTAAAATCACAAAATACATGAAAAAAATGATTTACCTTGAGTAAGTGAGGAAAAAAAAACCCAAAGGAGAATTAGAGCCCCACAAACTTAAAATAATTGAATTATAGTTTGAAATAAAGTAGTTCAAAATGATCAAAATCATTACTAAAGATAAAAATTTAAATCTTAAGAAGAATACAAGGCACAAAGAAAAACAAAATAGCAAACTTTTAAAAGAACTCAGTATAATACCCAGAAAGTTTTAAAATGCATAGTTACTAAAATTAAAAATTCAGTGATAAGTTAAACAGGAGGTTAAACACAGCTGATGAGAAAATTGTTGAACTAGAGGACAGATGTGAGGATATTAACCAAATACAGCACGAAGACGAAAAAGAGAGGCAAAATATAAATAAGAGTTAAGGTGCTGGAAGACAGAATGAAATCCAATAGATGTCTAAGAGGAGCTCCAGAATGAGAGAGTGGAGAGATGGGAAGAGGCAGTTTTCAAAATATAACAGCAGACCCGGTGCAGTGGCTCATGACTGTAATCCCAGCACTTTGGAAAGCTGAGGTGGACAGATCACTCAAGGTCAGGAGTTCGAGACCAGCCTGGCCAAACATGGTGAAACCCCATTACTACTAAAAAAATACAAAAATTAGCTGGGCGTGGTGGCAGGTGCCTGTGATCCCAGATACTCGGGAGGCTGAGGCAGGAGAATCCCTTGAACCAGGGAGGCAGAGGTTGCAGTGAGCTGAGATCAGGCCTCTGCACTCCAGCCTGGGTGACAGAGCAAGACTCTGTCTCAAAACAAACAAACCCAGCAGATACATCAGACTGCAAGTGCAGAACATTAAAGGCAAATCTTACAGGGAAGCAAAGGAAATCAAATGAAAACATATAAATGCATGTGACCTTACAAAAGGGAAACACAAGTGGAGGTTGCAGTTCTTGGTTCTGCCACTTGCTGCTGGGCTGTGGCTGTGATTCTGACTTGCCCCTCTGTCATTCATTTCATACCTCCTCACCTCAGGCCAGCCCTCAGCTGGCTAGGCTTTTTGGGTTTTTTGTTGGTTTGTTATGTTTGTTTAATAGAGACGGGGTTTCACCATGTTGGCCACACCAGTCTCGAACTCCTGGCCTCAAGTGATCTGCTTCCTCAGCCTCCCTCAAGTGATTCCCCTGCCTTGGCCTCCCAAAGTGCTGGGATTACAGGTGTGAGCCACTGCACCTGGTCTCGAGCTAGGCTTTTTGTTTTGGTTTGTTTTTGCAGAGGGCAAGGGGGATCTGATCTTCATTCCTGGAGGATTGAGTTCTGGGCCTGCCTGGTTGGAAATGTAGTCGTCTTTCACTAACACTCGCACTGGATATGGCAACATAAAGAGGTGCCCAGGGTGTTCTTCTGGGTTTCATGCATTCACCTTCCTGCCCTCATTGTACAGCAGCAACTTTATTTCCCCTTGAAAACTGTGGTGAATTGTCCCTGATGAGAAAAAATCTTTTGCTTAGGGCCTCTGGTGACTTGCTTCCCTTCCAGCTTTAGCAGGCTTAACTGTAAGCTGAGTTGGTAGGACTGAGCCAGGTCAACAAAGAATGCAACATCTCTGGTCTGGTGTGCAGACTACTCTAGCTAAGTTCCAGATCCTAGTCATTTCCTCGGTGTGGATGCTCCCAGCATCACGTAGTAGACCAGGTGTTTCTGTCTGCCTCCCAACTTACCTAGAAATAGAAAAAGCAGAAGGGACAGGATTCCATTCCTGGAGGACGTTCCACAGTATGACCAGCTGTGTCCAATCCAAGAACATCTCAGTATGAAATAACAAGAATTTAAGGGATCATGTCATATGCACTCTATTCCTCCTCCTCCCTTTGCTGCTGCTACTATAAGTTTTTCTCAACAAACCTTCCTTTACATTTCAATAGTATTTGTATGATACGGGGTGTGTATGTGTGTGTGCATATGTCTGCATGCTCACCCATGCCCCTTGCACATTGCTAGCTG